AAAAAAAAGGGGCAAATGTTTAATGCTATTTTAACCTGCGCCACAGAGTTACAGCCACACACATGGTGTTGCTGTGTTGCCGTAGCAACGACTGCTTTCCTTTTCAAGTGGAGGGAAGAAGAAGCCCCCCCCCACCCTCTCAATCAAGGCACCTTCCGCAGCTCCGAGTGAGATTTCACTGGAGTGACACTTGATAGTGAAGTTTGGGATTCAGCCATCAAACCCCAGACTGTGTGGGAACCCTGGCCCCTCAGCTCAGTATGAAACACGATTGGAGTCCAGCTGCTCCCAGATCACTGCTGAAATGACGACCGTGTGGCAACTTCCTGCCTCTGGGCTGCAATAAGCGAATGAAGTGTGTTCCACTACTGTGGGACAAAGAGAGGAAAGGTGTAGCATCCTTATTCTCACGCTCCATGAAAGGCCAAACTTCTCTGTTGTGAAACATCACTGATAACTTTGGAAACAGTCATTTTATTCTTTTTTGTTTTACAAACAGGGGAACAAAGATGGTGTGGTTTTTTCATCAGGTTTAATCACTTTTTCACTCAAAAAAAAAAAAAAAAAAAAGTTTTATTAGACACAGTGAAGCAACCTGCACGCTCTTTCTTCACTTAAGAAATGAGCAACTAATAGGGAGACATTTGACAGAGGAAACCTGTATCAGGTTGATATAATCCAGTCTTGACCAGCTGCATTCAGAGAGGTAAACTTTAATTCCCTTGAACATCCGTCGGACAGGTTTTCAGCGTCACTGTGTTACCTTGGCCCCCATTTGATATCAGTAAGTCCCTGAAATTGTCTTTTGAGGGCCTGTCTGTTTGACCACTCTGAGTCCAGGTAGCTGTCATCATCTGCCTCCTCCAGTTTCTGAAAGTGTTATCAGAATAAAGTTAGGTTTACATACAGAACGGCTCCATCCAGCATAGAGGTTCATTTTTACCAAACCTCACCTTCAGTTCTTCCTGCCTTCTGTAATAATGCAGCATCATCTGTTTCTGCTGCTCATCAGTGACCACAGGCTCTCTCGCTGGCGCCCCCTGTCCTTTCTAAAGTGGAATAGGAACAGGTTAATCAGGAAGGCTCTTCAGTGGATGAATGAATGGATTTTTACCCTTGACAGATAACAGACTCTCACCTTTTGGATTTTGACCACCAGCTTTGTCTTTTCATTTCTTCCAATGTAGTCCTTGAGTTTTTTCCCTCTTTGCATCTCTTTGCCAGCCCACCAAAGCTGGCCTTCCTCCCCAGTGATCACCTGTAGAGATGCCTGAGGACAGGAGACAGATGGAAAAGATGGTGGAAAAACATAAAAAAGAAAAAATGGTTAAAACTGGATATGATGGATAGTTTCAAAAGCTACTACTATAATGGCTGCAATAGATCACACCAGGTACTTTCTAAAAAAAGTAATTAATGCTTTGGAAAAGCAGGATTACCTGCGTCCCTGACAGATCCTTCTGGTCTTCCAACTCCAACCTTATCGGGTCGTGAGGAGGCAGACCCATAGGGTACACGATCATAACGGCACCTCTTAGCTGATCCAACGCTTCCTTTACCATTTCCATGGTAACGCAGACATTAGCTTGGACCTGTTTCTGCAAAATCAGAACAACAGAGAGTGTTTGGTCAATAATGAGGTAAAATCAGAGATAAACATGTAGCTTTTGAACTAAAACTCACTTTAGAGATCAGTGCTTTGGCCTCCTCCACTGTCCTAATCAACACTTCCTTCATTTTATCATTTGGGGCTAGAATAAGAACATATTTCACAGAATTGAATCAAACAGAACAAAATGGAAATGACTTCTACTATGGAAGTAAATATGTGCCATCAAAATTTGAATAAAAAATACCTCTGAAATTTGAATGTTGTATATTAGTGCTTACTTTTTCAGTATTAAAATAAATTCAGAATATATTTTTAACCTAAAAAAAATTCAATGTCATTATTTGTACATAAAAAAAAAATTCAGTGTAATTTTTTTTACATGGTTGCAATTTTCAGTTATTAAAAAAATTCACATTCCTATTTCAAATTGATCAAATTTTCAATATACATATTTTTCACAGTTTACATTTTCATTGTTAAAAAATTCAGCAT